TAAAAATTTTTAGAACATGCAGGGACAGATACAGTAAACAAATGAGACTTAGCTGAATGACGAGTAAAGCGAGAATGAGTTTTAGTTGATGGAACTAGAGATGATAACTCCTTTGAGCAGTGACCATGATAGTATTTGTAGAAAAAAGAAAGAGATGCAACTTTACGACGATGGGAAAGAGGTTCAAGCTTAGCAGATAGTCCAGGTCCAACAACATTTACAATGCGTTTTTGGACCTTGTCAAGAAGAGAAAGTGAATCGTTAGAAGAACCAGCCCAAATATGACAACAGTATTCCATACAGGGACGAATAAGAGATTTGTAGAGGTAGAGAATGGAATCATAAGTAAGGAAATGGCGAGCACGATAAAGAGAAGCAACCTTAGGAGAAGCTAATTTAGCAATCGATTGTATATATGGTTTCCATGAAAGGTCAGTAGTAAGCGATAATCCAAGAAGACGTAAAGAGGATGACTCAGTAAGAGGATTGCCATTCATTAATATAGGAATGTTGACCATATTACGGTAGTTGTTTGCAGTAAGCAACTGGGTTTTTTTAGAGTTGAAATTCACAAGCCACTGTGAACCCCAATCTATTTCTGAAGTGAGAACGGATTCAAGATCAGCTGCTTGTTCTAGGCGATCGAAAAGAGAGGACTTTTTGTCAAGACAGGAGTATAAAGTTGAGTCATCAGCAAAAAGAGCTACTTTAGATGAAAGGTTGTCAGGAAGATCGTTTATGTAGATAAGAAACAAAACAGGGCCCAGGATGGAACCTTGGGGAACCCCAGAAGTTAATGGAAATAAAGAAGAGTGTTGGCCTTCAAGGATGACTTTAATAAACCGGTTAGAAAGAAATGATTCGTAATCTCAAAAACTTTCCCAGAAACACCATATGAAGCAAGCTTATGGAGAAGACCAGCATGCCAAACTTTATCGAAAGCTTTAGATATGTTGAGAGCAACCGCCCTAGCCTCACCGCCTCCATCTAATGCACAATAAAATCTTTCAGTTACAGCAGTTAGCAAGTCGGCCGTAGAGCGAGAGGATCGAAAACCGTATTGATTGTCTGACAGTAGTTTATTTGACTCAAGATGAGATGTGAGGAATTTGTTGATCAAAGACTCAAAGACCTTGCTAACAACAGAAAGAAGACTGATCAGACGATAATTGGAGGGGTCAAAATTTTCTCCAGAGTTTTTGAATATTGGAACCACAGATGCCATTTTCCAACAAGCAGGAAAAGAAGACTCAGTCAAACACTTGTTAAATAGTTTAGAGAGAATTGAAGAAAGTTCTGGAGAACAATTCTGCAAGACTGTGACAGGAATGTTGTCTGGACCACAAGCTGTAGACGAGTTTAATTGAGATATGACTTTAGCAATGTCTAACAATGGGTCAACCTGTTTGACTGGAATGGAAGGAAGAGAATGTCCATAAGATTCAAGAGTGGAATTAGAAGAAAAGTTCTTTGCAAATAGTTCTGCCTTATCCTTGGGAGAGGTAATAAGATCAGTCCCATAAATGAGAGATGGAATGTTAGATCTACCCTTGTTAATAATGCTGTTGAAGATTTTCCAAAAGTCTTTAGAGCCTAACTTCTGTGATAAGATGCGAGATTTAGTGAACTGAGAATAATGGAGTTTAGCATCAAAAAGCACCTTTTTACATCGGTTTCTTGCAATAATAAATAGCCGTTTGTTCTCAAGAGAGTTGTTTTTTTGAAAAAGATGAAAAAAATGATTACGATTGGATATAGCAGCCGCACAAGAAGGAGAAAACCATGGAGTAGAATGAGGCTTGATTTGAAACCGACGCGAAGGAATAAAAGCTTCCATTCCAGCCTGAATCCAGGAGGTTACGTAGGAGGCGCATTTGTCAGCTGAGAGAAAAAAAACATCAGCCCAAAGACCATCACAAAGAAAATCACAAAAGGAATCGCAGTCAGCTTTAGGGTAGTAGTAGGTGGTGCGATGATAAGGTGAGCCCAAAAAAGAAGTACGAGAAGAAAGATTTATAGAGATCATTGCATGGTCAGAACCACCTAAGGTAGAAAAGGGAGAAACTGAACATAAGCTAGGGTCAGAGACAAGGCATAAGTCAAGGAGTGAAGGTAAATGATTAGGGTTGTCAGGAAAACGAGTCACAAAGTTAACTATCTGAGTAAGAGATTGAGAAACGCAGAATTTAAAGGCTTTAGTGCCAGCAGGATCAGTGGTGTTAGAACCAAGCCATTCAGTGTGATGGGCATTAAAATCACCAACAACAATATTGGCAGAGGGGTAAAGAGAAAGGGCATGGTCAATTTGATCAGAGATAACATCTAAGAGAGTGCAATCATGGGAAGAAGGAGAACGATAAAGAACAAAGAGAAAGGTGATAATGTGAAGAGGTGCTAGGTGAAAGCACATAAAAGAATGGTCAAAGGATTCGAACCTGATTTCACGACAAATAGGGGAATTAATGCGTATGTATACCCCTAAACCTAGCATGTGAATATTTGAGTCTTTACGAATCAAAGGATAGTACCCATCAACACTGACATCTGAAGAAGATATTGCAGAATTTAAATTTGTTTTACTGAGTGCAAGCAAGTCTAGTGAGTTTTGCAGGAGGTAAGACTCAACTGATGGAAAGTTGCTTCGTAGACCGCGAATATTTGTAAAAGATATATTAAAATATTTAGGTGGTGGGGATGGTTTTTTAGGTTTTAAATTTTTAGGTACTTTGGTTATGATTTGAGTTTAATGAGAACTTGACTCATTCATAGGTAGAGCACAGCCTTCTAATCAATGAGCTATGCAGTTGTCTCAGTCCTGTTAATTAACCCTAAGCCGTGACATAGGGCTCCTTATGTAGCCTTGACAATGCACAGTAAAAGCATTAACAGGGACACCATCCATGCGCAACATGGCACTGTTAATACTCTGATATTTTGCAGCTGTTGATAGAATCAGCCTCTCTGAGAGCTACCACAGAGTTCGGGAAACCTTGCTACCAGTCGGCCTCAGAACCATTAAACTGAGTTTTAGAGCTGTACCCTCATATGGAGATAACAGGATGAGTTGCATAGCCATTATCAAGAAGGCATAAGCAAAATTCTATGAGTAGAGTCAAGGAGATCCAGCATTCATCATCCTAGGCAGGAAACAATATAACACAGGTTACATCTACGCCAGCCTATTAGATGAAGAAGGGGTTCGAGGCTGGTTAGCATAATTTTTCTGCTTACCCCTAAAGTCTTTGCCTAGGAGGCCTTCTACAAGACAGTAGCTGGATGCAGTTAACACCTGCCCAAGATGAGTGTTTTTATCGAGACACCATCTCTAGCCTTTACTCAACCTAGAGCCCCAAGGCAGGGGGTGTTTAGCTGGATGCAGTAAACATCTGCCCAAGATGAGTGTTTTTATCGAGACACCATCTCTAGCCTTTACTCAACCAAGAGCTCCAAGGCAGGGGATGTTTAGCTGGATGCAGTTAATATCTGCCCAAGATGAGTGTTTTTATCGAGACACCATCTCTAGCCTTTACTCAACCAAGAGCCCCAAGGCAGGGGATGTTTAGCTGGATGCAGTTAATATCTGCCCAAGATGAGTGTTTTTATTGAGACATCATCTCTAGCCTTTGCTCAACCAAGAGCCCCAAGGCTGGGGAATCTTTAGTCGGAGTTTATTTCTCCTAGCTTTTGCATAAGAAGAGCACACTCTGCAAGGCAGCAGAGCTTGTACAGGTGGTACTGGGTTACGTGATACCAGTAGCAAGACTGATCTCGATTATCCTGACCTGACCTGGAGTAGTTAAAAGGAGTTGCTTCCCACAACAGTACTTTGAGAAAACCAGGCATGACATTTTGGAAGTGCATTAGGAAAAACACTGCATCTAACAAAATACAGGAGTCTAAGGTGAGTGTAGGTTTTGTAGTTGGAGTAAGTAGTTATTTTCTGAGCTCACGCTGCATTAGAGTATAAACAGAACACAAACAAACATAAATAAACATAAATCAACTTACGGGTGAGTCAACATCGCGCCAGAGGTTCAGACAGAACACAAACATACATATAAAACATAACTGTTACCAACAATACATCACAAACATACATAAAAAACAAACTGTTACCAACAATACTTCAAATTTTGAAAAAGCAGAGTCAACTACAAGTGCAACTAATGTAATTGTGACTATCACACCTACTACTATTCACACACTACTATTCACACACACATTGTGATATTTTTGAAGAGCAAGAGGACATGGAAGAGGATGAAGTTAATGAGTATGAAATTGATGTAATTGATATTGGAGACATTCTTTTAGTTTCACCAGAGCATAATGATGTTGATGATGATGAGTCCATAGCCTAGAGTATTTCTTTGCCATCTCATAAAACATGTAGCAACAATTTACTGAATCTATTGGCAACTAATGATGCTAAGTAGGCATGCAATATAGACAGTACATTTAAGCGTACCTACAGTGCAGGACTGGCAAAATCCACTTCAATATGGAATGCAACTCGACGAATTAGTAAAGCATCAGATGCTGTGTTAAATATTACAAACAAAGTAAAACTCTGCCCCGTGGCAAAACATTTAAATTCTCAGTTTAATGCTATCAAGCGATTACTAGAATTATGTGATAAACTTAATCATATATGTAATACTTTGAATGTGCCAAAGTTTAAAAAGCTAGACTTAAAATACCTGTAAGAATATGCATTGATCATGAAACCTGATGCTAAAATATTAGATGCTTTGCAAGGGAATAATGTGCATTATGGCCTTGTGTTTTCACATTTGCATAGCTTACAAGTGAAATTGGAAGCGTTTCAAAGTTGCCAGTTAAAATATAGTAAAGTACTTGGTGCAGCATTGTTAGCAAGCATGAAAATTTGTTTTGAAAAGGAGCTGAGATTTGATGTGAGTAATTCATACAGGATTTTTACAGCAGTTTTGCACCCACTGTTCAAGTTACGGTGGATGCCAATAAATAAACAAGCTATCTGCAGAGAAATATTTAAAAATGCCATACTAACTGCTTGTGAACCATTGACAGCGACCTATCTCAATGTGAACACTGACAGCACAACTCAAAATTTTGTTGTACATAATGATGACACTCAGCAAGAATGCATATTATATCTGAATGATAAAGATAAGAAGTATAAGACTATTTGGTCACTGTTTGTCAGCACTGCGGGATAAATACAAACACCTAGGTGTAATTTTCTAAGTGTTATAATGTTTGAAGGGCTGCTGCTGCTAAAAACAAATGGGAATGACTGAATGAATGATATTTAAATGTAAATGTAGTATAAATGACTAATAGCTACTTTTTAGCAATGAGAGTGCGTAAAATAAAATTTTGAAAATGGCTTATTTTTTAGTTGCAAGTTTTACAAGTAGTAAAGTATTTTGTATTTTGTATTTAAAATACTTTTATTAAAAGTATTTTAAGTTTAAATACTTTTGAAGTATTTGTATTTGTATTTTTATTTAAAATACTTTTTTGTTCCAGTATTTGTATTTTAAGTACTTTTATAAAGTATTTTATCCAGCACTAGAGAGCAACTCTGAGCATGACCTCCCATCATTGTTAACGACAAACTTAAATGGCCAGATCAATTTGCACACGCTGTTGCCAAGGCTAACAAGGCACTAGGTATCTTTAAAAGAACTTTTCATTAATGGGACATAAACAGCTTTCACATACTCTATACAACTTATGTACGGCCACGCCTCGAGTTCTGCTCTTTGCATTAAACCTTTATTATTGTGGAGACATTGATGCTCTTGAAGTAGTACAAGAAAGAACCACTAAGCTCATACCTTATCTCAAGCCATTAAAATATCATCAAAGACTAACCGCTTTAAATATTTAATCACTATAGGATAGACGGCATAGAGATGACCTTATCCAATACTTCAAGATGTACCACAACATCAACAAAGTTGAGCTCTTTAGACCAAATCAGTTAGCTCCAGCACTAGGTGTGTAGGGACCTGTAAAATGCCTCCAAGGGCAATGTCATCAACTTCAACCTCAAGCAGTAACACTGTGTGCAAAGAGAATTTTTCTTCTGCAATCGTGTCGTACCTGACTGGAACTTTCTTCCGAATTCCATTATATCTGCGGTATCGGGCAATGCTTTTAAAAATAAACTAGACTTATTTTTTACTGAATTTATACAAAAAAAATAAAAGAACTGACATTTATCACAGCGGGGCTTCATTAGTTGCTCTGCTTGTAAATGGTACTACTGATTAATACTGAAAGGCCTGTCAGGGGTGTTCACTCACACTTTTAGTTGGTTGCTAGAAAGAAGACTGAAAGCAACCAGTTCCTAACTTTTGGTCAATTTTTTGAGTTGCCTTTTGCTATTTTTTATAAAAATTTTTTGCATTCAGAGGATTTCTTGCATATTCTAGTCATATTTCATTATAGGGACAAGTGTAGATTATACTAATTAATATAATTTGCATAAATAAAAGTAATATTATAAACTATTGATAACATTCACTTTTCGACTTTCAGATAAAGCGCGTGCCAATATATATGCCATTAGGTTTTTCTCTTGAATTGAGCGCTCATTTTTTATATATTTTTTTTACAACAAAGGTTTTAAAGTATTAGTAAATTTTTATTTATATTGACAAATATAAATAAAAATTTACTAATACTTTAAAACCCTTTGTATTTAATGTGTTGTAATTATTAAGATCTTATTTGTTATAGGAGCTTAAAAAAATAATGATATTTTGAAAGTATTTTAAAGTATTGCTTTGTAATTAAATTTAATTTTAAACCTTGCTAAATATTATTTGAACTAATTTAACAAAAATTAACTGAATCTAAATTCGGCATTTGAAAAAGATTATAAACAACTTTAAACAATCTTATACTTAACATAATCTTATGTTTGTTTATCACAATTTATTTATTTTAATTTTTACAAATTTAATGTAGTATTTTTTAATAAAGATTATAAACAATTTATAGATAGTTTTTATCAGTTGCTATTAAGACATTTGTAAACGTAATTTATGTTCTTAAATGTAATAAGTCAAAAGGACTTTACACCATATTGAATTAATAAGAAACAAAAATACATTTAAGAAAAGAATTCTCTTAAACAAAAGCACTTTTGCCTTTTTATAAGTTAAAAAAAAGTTTTTAACTTCCTTTCCCTTATAATAATCTATGATAATCTATAATGGCGAGACTTATATTTTCTGTAATGAATTTTACGCAATGAATTATTTAGCAGATGATTAGAAAAAAACTATAATAAAAATTGCAAAACTATTTTACATTTATTCGAAATTCTAGAATATACAAAAAACAAACATTGGTACTGTAACTTTAAAAATAAAGTTTAATTATTATTTTCTTTTCTTTTTCTTTTTAAATTAAAAAAAAAAAAAAATAACTATAACTGCAGATAAAAACCGATAGTCATCCATTCAGAAGACTTAATTGCATCAAAGAAATATTTTTAGTCGCCCTTCACAAAATTTGGTCATCTGATACCGTTGGGCAACCATAATTGTACACCCCTGTATGTATATGCATAAATATATATATATATATATATATATATATATATATATATATATATATATATATATATATACACACACACTTACACATTTAATAAGCACTTTATATAATCTTTCAATAAAAGAATCATACATTGGTATAAACCATTTAAAATCATTTGGCATTCCTAAATATAAAAGCCATACGGAACTGTTAAAAGAAGTTTGAAAAACAAAAGATAATAATAAAAATCCAGTGGTTAGATGGACAATAATTAGACGACGTGAAGCGTATAACCTGACAACAAAATCATGCAAGTTATGCCTTAATGAAAAATATGAAATTATTTCAAACAATGACAACAGTTTATTAAATAAAAAAACTGAAATTATATCAAAATGTCAACATAAAAATAAATTTCTTCTTTGCTAATTTAACACTTAAAATTAGATTAAGCCAGGTAGAAAGATGTAATCAATTTTTTGAAGTCAGATCCCACTGGATTGCTTAATTTGTAGTTTTAATGGTTTTTTAATTTCTTGATTTAAAAAATATATGGCTGATGATGTTACTTAAAACAATAACAAATAAAAATAATATAAAATGAATAGTTTTTACTACAATGTTGCAAAACGTGTCAGATTTTGTACTAAGCTGTTTTAATAACTTACACTAAAGTATTTTTATTATATATATTATATTCATATTATATAATAACTTATGCTAAAGTATTATCTTTATGATTTAGGACCTGGTAATACTCCCAGACCAATTGAACTATACTCTCATGATCCTGTGCGGTAATTAAAATTAAGCTATACTCTAATGACCCCATTAAATAATTAAAGTATTTACAAATGTGATCTTTTTGTAGATATGTTGGTGATATTTTAGCATGGTTACATCAAGCTGTGGCTGGTGAAAAAGAACTACTTCATAGCTTACTTCGCAGAACAAAAATAAATGGTAACATTTTTACTATTATTTTAGCCATAATTAAGGTAAGGTTAATGTTTGGCTTCATTTAATAAATCAAATTAAGGTAGCTGTGTGTTTTATAGATTTATTTCTTTTTTTCGTGGGCTTAGAGAGAACATTTACTTTAATATAGCAGCAGAAATGCTACTAAAATATTGTGTTTTTAAAAAACTTTAAAAAGTTTCCAAAATCTATATTAATAAATTATTATTAATATGTTTTTTTCAGAAAAAAATTTTTTACAATTCAAAGAAAGAAAACTTTTCAGAAAAAAGTTATTTTAATACAAAGAAAAAAGTCACTTAATTTTACATAATCTTGTTAAAACAAAACAAGTATAACAACATATGATGATGTATATTTATAATCATGAGTAATATTTTACTATTATAACATGAGTAATACGATTGATTCTTGATATCATGACTACTCAATATCTTAATTTTATTTATGGTACCTTGCACACTCATTTGAGCCAAAATCCTCTTGATATCTCAAGCTTTTTTCCCAGTTCCCTTAGAGTTCAAGATAAAAAGAATCAACTGTAATTTATCTGTATACGCAAAAACTAATAAGTTAAACAAAAAAATATAAGTTTAAATATTATAATATATAAAAACTAAAACAAAAGTTTGTATATAGCCAACAAGGTCATGTAAAATTCTTAGTCAACCAAAAAAAAAAAATCACAAAATAATAAAAGATTTTATATTAATATTATCTGTTTTATTTAATAAACAAAATTAATAACAAAAAATGAATAAATAAAAGTATTATAGTAAAAACACATTACATTTCAGTTACTTAAAGAATTACCAACATTTTTTAATGATAATGTTGTTTATGTTATGCGTTACATCACGTTATGTGTTACATTGCCCTGTTTTACTCTACTTACGGTAGAGTAAAACGGGGCAGAATAAAATAGAGGATAAATTGAAATAGAGGATATATTAAAATAGTGAGTGTTATGAAATAGAGAATACATTGAAGCACAGAATTCATTGAAACACAGAATATATTGAAATACAGAACATTTTGAAATAGTTACATAGATCATGTTGTAGAGAATTTTTTTCTGAATAAGATATATAAAATTTTTTAATAAGGTAATATAATTTGGTTTTAAAAAAAAAAAACTTTTTTTTGAGAAAATTTTAAGTTTTTTGCTGCATAATAGTTTTTTTCTTTTTTTTGTAAAATGGACACGGGCATCCAACTTTCATTAATTTACTTACCAGCTAATTCATCATACATTCTGCAGCCTCTAGATTTTGATGTCTATTGTCTATGTTTGGTAAAGAAAACTTCATCAGTTTTATGTAGAGGCAAATTTCAGCATTTTATTTATAAAAGTATGCTTTAATAAATTGCGAGCAAAATTTTGAACATCAATAAAATGAACAAAAATAAAATTGGATATTTGTTTAAAAAACCATTATCACAGCCTGAGTTATTTTCATGTCAACTACCAAAATCTCTGCCAGTACCACGACTGGCACCAGCAGTAGTAACTACACCATTTCAGCAGGTTTGGACAAGAAAGGTTTTAATATTCTTTGAAATTATTTCAAACATATTTAAAAGTATAAACGATAATAATTTTAACTTTAAATTTTTTTTTATTATTCCTATATATTTGTTATTTTTTTTATTTTTATATTTTATTTTTTAGTCAGGAATTTTCTTTTTTAATTTACTTGAATTTTTTTTTTTAACTTTCTTTCTAGTTTAGCTTAGGTTAATTTTTTCACCTTATTTCCTAAACATTTAAGTTGTCAAAACATCTAAAAAGCTGTCGTCAAATTTTTGATAAAAATAATATACTCAGCAATAACCTTCAATTACACACTATTTTTGTCCAAACCTGTTTTAGCCACTGTCTTCCGAATCTATACCAACAACATCTAGCATCAGCTTATAATGAACATCAGACATACAACTCTAATGCCAACTTCAAATTTAACTTCCCTACAGCTAACTTATAGTATATTATAGTCACATTTTTTCACACTTTACTTTCCCTACACCTAACTTTAATGTTATAGTAACTAAAATTAAGTTACTATAGCTTGAATTAGTAATTAAAAAAAAAATTAACAAGCAATTGTGATTGGACAAATAGCTTGCTGCAGCTTTGCAACAGATATTTTGAATTCAACAGGTTGATACAAAAAAAATGCAGATCTGCCAAGATTTAAAGAGTCTCTATAAACCTTAAATACTCAAGTATTTGAAAGTTAAAATAGATTATAACAATTAGATAGTGATGATGCTTTTTTCATCTTTAATATTTTTAAGTATTTTAGACATGTTTTAAGTTAATGATTATTAAAAAGTTTTCAATAATGTCATTCTTTTATAGATCACAATTTTGTGTTTTGTTACAAAAGATTTTTATGTGAATAATATAAGTATTGTATTTAATTTAAATACAATATTTTAGATTGTATTTAATTTAATTGTAACAAATATAAATATTTTTTTAATTATAAATTTATATGTTGCAATTCATTAAAAATAAGTTGCAACATATTTTTGAATAACTCTAATATAATAATAACTCTATTTGTAAATTCTATTACTTTATTTTTATTTTTGAAAAAAGTTGTTAACCTAATTTTTTACTTTTACAGAACATAAAATTTTGATATCAGATGCGCTAAATCACATTATAGATGGTGTTTGTCGACCTTTTAAAGTAAGATTACTTAGGATTATCTTCTTTTAGATAGATATTACAACTTATTTAAAACACGCATACCTAACAAATACATAATTAAACACACACACAGATGTATGTAAGAGTTAAACACACACATATACCTAAACACACACACATGTATGTAAAAGCTAAACACACACATATACCTAAACACACACACATGTATGAAAGAGTGATTAATATAATGCAAAAATATTTTTTTACAAAATAGCTCATCAATATTTATATAATAGTTACTATAAATCAATTGAAAAAATACAAATTTGTAACAAAAATTAAAGTTTCATTCCTTTTGGCAATCATCAGCGCTATATATATATTTTTAAATATAATTTTGGAGCTCTTAGTTAAATAAACTGCATTCTTCTACTTTTGAATTCGAAAGGTTTCTTAGGGGTTGAGTTTTTGGATATGCAGAAAGTTTCTGTTAAACAATCTTGCATCTCTTTATTTAACTGGCTGGCGTAGATGTAAACGTTATGTTGCATTGTTTTCTGCATAAGATTTTTTTTTTGTTGTTGTAAGTTTGTTGGTCTAAAACTCACATTATTGGTTCTGAGACTGGCTTGTAGTAAGGTTTCTTTAACTCTGGTCTCAACTTAGAGAAGCTAGTTCCATCACAAAGAAGAAACAGCTGAATTTAAAATAGTCTTACAAAGGGCATGAAAGATTGATGAGTTTTTCAAGACTTAAGATTCAATGGATGATAACTTAAAAGTCACAAATATTTGCAAAGAATAGATTGAAAAAATTTTGTGGTAATGATGGTATATTTTTGTTTAATATTTTTGGGTACTTTATTTATGTTTTAAGTTAACAGACAACTCAATCGTAAATATTTCATTTATCTCCTGAAGAAGATATAGAATCAGATATTTGTCATGAACAAGTTAAATTTTTAACGTTTTTTTTAATAAAAAAAATCCTGTTAAAAATTGTAACTGATTATTGTCAGCGTTACCACTGCCTGGGTTTTTTCATAGGAGAGTGTCAAAAAAATATTTAAATTAATTCGATGAAGTTAATTTATATAAAAAATTTTCGACACTCTCCTACGTTTAAATCCAGTTAGTAAAAATGCTCATTATTGTAAGCAAAATATTTAACTGTCATTAAAAGAGTCTTAAAATGTGGAAAATTTTTGTCATTTAAGTCATTATTTTGCAAGACAAAAAATCAGAAATACTTTATTATCTATTTGAAATCAAAAGAAATTATTTATATAATTAAATTTTTAAAGAGATTTTTAAATTTTATAGTTTTACTATGAAAAGGTGATATTATCACAAAAAAGGTGATATTATCACAAAAAAGGTGGTATTATCACAAAAAAGGTGATATTATCACAAAAAAATGGATATTATCACAAAAAAGGTGTAAATGATGTTTTACAAATATATTTTAAATTAATGTTTTTATAATAAATTTTCTTAATTAGGTGCGTATTGAACAAGTAATAACATCTGAACCTGGTGCCCCTGTACTTTTTCGATTAACTAATTTGCTTAAGTTTTATGGAACAACACTAAGGTATTGTTTTAAGTTTATTTTTTTGATAATACTAACAACAAGTAATTAGTAATTAAATTAATAATTATAACATGTTCTAGTAAGCAGAGATGTAAGTCTCAAAAAAAGCTCAGAGTTTTACAATCAAATGTCCATCACCTGAACTCTTGAACCTTTTTGCATTGAAATTGTTTTCTAACTTCATTGAGATAAAAGTACTTTAAGTGTTTCCAAGATTATTATTTCGAATCTAAAGTTTTTGTATAAAACTGTATCCAGGAAGTCTGGACATAAAAACTCTTGTTTTAAAAATAATAGAGTACAGCACTTTTAAAATTATTTGTCCAGGAATAACAGTGAATAAGTTCTTTCTATCCCTAGAAATTTTGTTTTGAATAGTAAAAAAAAATTTAATAACTAGATATACAAAAATAGTTATAAATATATTCTCTTGCTATATAACTTTAAAAATGTTTATATAATACAACTATATAACTGTTAATATATACTATATATATTTTTAAATATATGCAATTTTTATTTAGATATATACAAATAGTTAAAATTTATATATTATATAAAATGCTGTATGAAATAAATTATATTCTATGAAACTTATTTTGATTTACTGAATTTTTTTTTGACTTGTTTTGAATTTTCTTTTGATTTTTTTTTCTTTATTTAGTGGGCTGTTTGAGTCAAATGCTGCACTTATTGTGGTAACAATAAATGAAATGATGGAATTAAGTCATCAAATTTTTTACAGTAGTTTGTCTATGTATGGAAACAAAATAGCGGATAAAGTTAGTAACTGTATAATGTTTTTGTAAAAAATTTCAAAGTTAAGATTTTTTGTGTTAAAGAACTTTAAAGTAAATTGATAATCATCTTTATTTAAATATTTTTATGGTTTTCGATATTTAAATATTTTGGTGGTTATATATATTATGATTTATCAAGTAGTTCAAATAAATTTCTTGTTAAGCAGCGATATTACCCAGCAAGTTTGAAAATAGATTTGTCAGAACATTAAGCACATAATGTTAACATTTTTTTTGTTACCTAAGCACTAATTATTTTGTGGCCAAAGACTTGATAATTGCTTGAGTGAGTGAGTGACAATGCTTGAGTGAGTGAGTGACAATTGCTTGAGTGAGTGAGTGACAATGCTTAAGTGAGTGAGTGACAGTTCTTGAGTGAGTGAGTGACAATGCTTGAGTAAATAAAGACTTGACAATGCTTGAGTAAATTAAGAGAGTGTATGATAATTTTTTCATCTTCTTAAATGTTGTGAAGTTTTTTTATTTCAATTTTTACTAACATTTTTTTTCTTCAATACTATGTTTTCACTTCGTGCATAAGAATCATAAAAAAATTATAATTTTTATTTGAAATCTGCTAAATTAGTTTGTTTGCAAAACAAGAGTTATGAAATTATGCAATCTATTGAAATCTGAAATAGAGTGTTGAATAAAATGATCAAATTTAGCACTAGTATTATTGAGTCACCAAGTTAACTGTATTTGAAAAAAGAATAAATTTGATTTCCAAATATTAAGTATTCTTTTTCTTCAAAATCAGTCAAAATACTATAACATCAGTCACTTATGGATTATGCATAATTCATTACTAAACAATAAAAAAAAATCAATTAGCAGAAACGTCATAAAATGTTAATCTTGAAAAATATATGTGAACCAATGAAGTAAAATATGAACATGTGGCAAACCCCCTTTTGAAATTTGATAACCTGAACATGAGTTACAACTTTCCCTTATACAACATGCTTGAAAATATCATTTGGGAGGTTATTTAATTTGAGAAAAATCTGGAATAGTATTACTTCTTGCTATACAATCCTTTCTCTAGCATTTCATAGATGATTACTACTAGCATTTTGTAGATCATTAATTTAATCTTGCCTAGGAATATCTCAACTTGCATAACCACGTTGTCCCCATTTGGATACAAATTATTTTCTGCTTGTTGAGCAGCATTTTTTACATTTCAACAATGAATAATTTCATCTCGCCTAGCACTATCCCTTTTATTTCTATGATGATTACTATCAACATGCCTAATCACATTATCCTCATTAGGGTTCAAATTAATTTCTGCTTTTCAAGCAGCATTTCTTACATATCAACAACGATTAATTTTATCTCACCTAGCTTTATCTCCAAAATATGTTTTTGGTTGTAAAGTGTAGTGAATCCACCAATTTCATCTTGCCTAGCTATATCTCTTCTCTGATTTCGATGATAATTATTTTCAAGTTGTCTATCAGCATTTACACTAATATCTTTTTCAAGCCTAATATCATCAATTTCAGTTTCACTATTATCACTAGACATATTTTACCAGTAGTATTACATTTCTTGTAACAATATATATATATGTATATATATATATATATATATATATATATATATATATATATATATATATATATATATATATATATATATATATATATATATATATATATATATATATATATATATATATATATATATATATATATATTAATCCAAACAATTGTTCCCTCATTAATTTAAAAAAAAAAACTAATTTGTGAGAGAGCAATCATAAGACAATAATGTTGTTTCTCGAATTTTTTTATGAAATAAATAGGATGTATAAGTTTTTTAAAATAATGAAATATATATATATATATTTTTTAAACAACATTTTTAAATTTCATTGATAGTATTTTTTATAACAAATTGTTTAATTTAAAAATATTTTGCATGGTTTCAAATTAAATTTAATTACTTTAAAATATGCAACTGACATAATTTACCTTTTAAAGGGATTCCAAACTCCCAACACATGTTGTATTCATATTAAAGATATTTAAAAAAAAGGTTTGAATCAAATTATTTTGGTTAAAAATAAATAATGAATGCATACCAAGCAAAACTGCATACCAAGGAAAACTAATGTTGTTGTTTTAGTCAAGCTCGCCTTCTCCATTTTTTTCAATAACTCAGAGTCTTTAAATTATACGTCGCAATCTACAGACTTTAGCGATTCCTTTGAAGCGCGTTTAATTCATAAAAGTTTTAGCATTTGACGTCACGGTAGAATTTTAACAAATGAAAAGTGTAATTAAACAAAGCTGCGTTTTTCTACTTTAATTCAAAAAGTATGATGTAGTATTTTTTTAACATACAGCAAAACAACTTTTACAACAAATTTAAAATCAAAAATAATAAAAGATTTTTATTTCATAGGAGCAACTTTTTTTTTACCGATATCTTAATTTTTAGATTTATCTTACTTATAATTCTTTTGTTTTTGAATTAAAACAAATATTAAAGCTTTACTTACGAATCTTATGATTTTTATACAAGTGTTTTACATTATATAGAACGTTATGTATATGGTCTCTTGTTTTTGTGCAAGAGAACATAGTATTATATATTCTGAATCTTACTTAACTTCATTTAAAACAATGGGAAGTATTTTCTAACTTTTCTGGTTATTTTTACGCTATGACATTTTTTGTTTTCCCCTCGAAAAAAAGTATTTATTACTAATTAATTTCATAAACTGACAGTATTATTTAGAGATATTTGATGAATTGTTAACTTTTTTTATTATAAAATTTTTTTGATTACACTGATATAATTTAAATTGCTAAATTTGCTGAATTGGATACGGATAAAAAGGAAATATCATTTTATTTTACATTTGATTTTTGATAATGAAACTTTTAAAATGTCGGCAACTCCATACCAATTAGAACCTGTTAAGGTTATGAAAAAAAGCACAAGAATACACTAAACAATACAGTTGACAGTAGTATCAGATATGAAAATTTGTGAAAGGATATGTGAGATCCTGGTTTTGCATTAAAAGTACAATTAATAGCAACACAAGTCAGCATTATAAATTTTAATTATTAGTTTACTGTTCAATATTTTATAACCATCAAATTAAAAACATTAATTTTGTATATTTTTGCCCGTTTTATACAACTAATATTTAACAAAAATACAGACAAGTTATTATTAAATAACGCAATAATTAACACATTAATTGGCATTAATTCAAGACAGATGGTAATTTAAATTGTCAAAATGTCATAATGCGTGTTAAGAAACATATTATATTTGGTATTTCCCAATTTGTGTTGCGATTGGCATTTGTCTCTTAACATGAATGTCTCTAAACATGAAAAATTAAAAATTTTTAAAAACACAATTAACAAATACAAATTTTCAAGCAATTTTCTCTTCCAATTCTCATTTTTTCAAAGGAAAGTTACTATTAAACTTTTATTTCTCATCTAAAAAAAGAACGAGTGACGCAAAAAAAAATATGTATTCTATGCAACTCTTATTCATTCGAAGTTTAATTATGCGAAATTTTTCTTTCTCTTTTGTTCCACTCTTTTCTAAAAAGAGCAGGCAATGAAATAAAAACTTTTCTTTCTTAACATAAAATTATACTTTGAGATAAAATTAAATTTAAAATAAATCAACAGTTAACAAAGCAACTAACAGATTAATCTGGGACTATTTGATATTAATGAAAATAATCAACATAAATAACATTACCAACAACAATTATCACAATATCGCATAATTTTAGGGGCTTTTTATTTTTATTGCTTAGTCGTTCTAAATAATAAGTAAATTTATTCAAGTTAATATTTCAATATTTACAGTTGCAATATAATAAAGAAATGATGTTTAATGTTGAACTTTTTATTTACTTATTTATTTTTTACCTACATTTGTTATAAAAAACTTTAGAACCTCCGTCATTAAAACAATTTGTTTTAAATATATTTCAAAGTGATTATTCAAACTAATTTTTTTCGTTTGACTTCCCGATCTTCATGCAAAGCAAATTGAGACGAAATATTGTCTAACCAAATAAAAATTCTGTTACTAATTTTATACGGGTAATTAATGAAAAACAATTTTTTATCAGAGTCTTGATTGAGATAATAAATATTCATAATTTATAAACATTAAATATATGGCGCAATAACAATTTATAGCAACGAACTAGCATAAAATATTTGAGGTTTTTAATATCTTTTTAAATGTTAAAAATAGAAGAAAAAAAAACTAAACAAATAATCAAAAAAATTTTGAATAAAAAAAAAATCTTCATAATCATGAAAAAAATTCTTCATGAAGAGAAAAAGAAAAACTTAAAAAAATAAAACCTTAAAAATAATATACATTTCTTTATATATAAACTATAAAAATAATATCTATTCATTTAATAGACTTTTAAAAAGATTAAAGTTATTATTTAAAAACTTTGATATTTTTTTATTTCTACTAAGTGAATAAAACAAATTTTAAAAAATTAGATTAAAGAATTTGAACCCACAACCAATTGCAATTGAAGAGCGTTTTTCTAAAAGGCTATTTTTTTGAAATTTTTATTTAGGATTACAAAATTATAGATATTAAAAAAATCCTTGCTGGATAATGGAATAAAAACATGACTTAGCGCCTTTTAGAAAAACGCTCTTCAATTATCAATATACCAATCCTTCCAAAAAATAATAATTTTGGTATGGCATATTTTCAAATTGTTTTAAATTTCAAGAATAAATAACTTCAAATAATAATATAATTATTATTAACTACTAATAATAACTAAATCATTTCAATCATATGTAAATGTGAGCATAATACAGGTGTATCAATTAACCATGGTAATTTAACACAGGTGTTCTGCATTGCAAATAAATGTGGGACACCAGTCTTCCATAGTTATTAAAGGTTTATTTAAAGGCAACAATTAAAATAATTGTCAATTATTTTTAACTGTTTTTTAAAATTGTTTTGGTTTTAATATTTGTTAAAACAAAATAATTGTAAAAATTATTTTTGTGATAATTTATGATAATTATTTTGATAATTTATGAAATTTTTATGATATTGTGTATATAAATTAATTTATATAAATATTTGTATGATAATTTAGATTGACATTCCTCCTCCTGATTTAAGCCCTTCTCAACCTGTCATTGAAACATTGAATTTGTTAAAAAATGTTCTTTCAAGTCATGACTCGGCTATTTCTTCATTAGATGAGCGAAAAGAAGACTATGAAAAGGTAGATAAGTGCCAGGTTTGATTAAGGAAGGGTAAAGGCAGAAAAGCGTTTTTTATGAGCATATTATTGTTTTGTTCTTTACAAATATTAGCAATCTTTTTATGAGTATACTAGTTCATTTTTTTTTTTTTTTATTTAGATATACTCTGCCTTATTGGAACCATTGTTGCAATGTTGTGTATTGAATGGAAAATGTTTAAATATGCCTGATATGTCTACATATATGCTAAATTGCTTGTATAAAATGCAGGTCACTTTAGCTGTTTACGAGTTTTCAGATCTAAAAATTGAAATGCTTTTATCACAGGTATTTTACATTCAAATACTTTTTTAATTTTTATTATGCTCCTCTATATATATGTTTTATGTTTAACTGTTTTATGTTTGATGTTTTACATTATTTATTTTTTTTATTTTTTTATACTTTAAATTTTAAAAATATGAACAAGTTTTGTAAAATATAAAACATATTTAAAAATGAATAGTTAAATAGTTTTTTTATTTATAAGGCTGCTGTACATATAGAAACACTTACAAAAGAGCAAGCTAATTTCATACTCAATCGTTCTGGATTAGGTGTTATCTTCAATAAAATTAAAGAAATTTCAGAAAGCAATGTGAGTTTTTTTAATTATTTTTTTCTTAAGTTATGTGTGTGTTTATTTATGAACTTTACTTCCTCAAGGCTACAGAACAGAATTCTGTTACTTATATTCTACTTATGTTTTTTTAATTCTCTTTTTTTTTTTTTTCACTCTATTTCTTTCTTTCTCTCTCTCTCTATCTCCTCTCTCTTTCACTTTCTCTCTTTTTATCTCTCCCTCTCTTCTCTCTCTCTCTCTCTCTCTCTCTCTCTTTATATATATATATATATATATATATATATATATATATATATATATATATATATATATATATATATATGTATATATATATATATGTATATATATATATATATATATATATATATATATATATATATATATATATATATGTATATATATATATATATATATATATATATATATATATGGAAGCAGGCCTTGATTTGCGAATCGAGTCGAATCAGTAATATGAGTAAATCCAAGTTTAAGCATCTTTTTTCAGAAAATTTTTTTGCCCAAATAGAAGCAGTATTATAATTACTTTCGTTTACAATTACTTTACTTTGGCTGAGATAAATAAAAACATTTTGATAGCATCTTAGCGTTGGATATCTGAAAAAACAATAATACTCACAAAATAAATAGTGATTCAAAAAACTTGAATCATTTTTTTCGAATCAAAGCGATACTTAATTGATTAGCCCAATCAAGTTTATGAGCTTATCACATTTTAAAAGACTGGAATAAAGCTAGGTTCTTAAAAGATATAGACCATATCATATGCTGACCATATACCGAAAGGTATAGACCATATCATATGTAGTGATTTTGCCGGTTATCCGTTTCAAAAACCGGATAACAGTTCCCATCAATTTGCAATAACCAACTATTCGGTAAATTAGTGACACTTTCTGAATACAGGATCTTCTAAATTTTAGCGAACGTAGCGTTTTAAACTAATTTTTTTAAAATTAATGTTAAAGTGTACATTTTCAAGACACTTAGTGAATACAGTCCTATATTATATATTTATAACAAAACATGGAAAAAGATATATTTTTTATATTATAATATAATATACCTTTTTAATTATATAATTTAAAAAGGTAATAGGTAATAAAGGTTAAAGGTAAGAATAATGTACAAGTATAGTTTAAATGCTTTAATATCAGCGGATGTTTTAAAATCATTCTCTCATATAAAAACATTTGATTTGGAAAAATAAGATATTATGAAGTTAATTTTTTTAGTGTGTATTTTAAAAACTCATTGTTATGCGGACATAGGTGGAAACACAGATAAACTTGAATGTTCTCAAAACAACTTGTTGCAGAAAGATAATATAAAGAATATTTGCTAACACTAAAATACCGCCAAATCTACAAATAAACAAATTCTATTGGTTCAAAAAATATGCTGAATAAGTAAATTAGAGTTCCAGAATATTCTGAAGAAATTTTCTTAAAAATGTATTGCTTGAGTTGCAAAAGTAATAAATAAATCTTTGAGATTTCTATTGTAAATTGTTTAATGAGTGTATTATCAAAGAAAACTGATTAAGTTATCATTTAAATTAATAAAAGAAATTTATTATAATCTTTGATATATATATATATATAATAATAATAATATAATAAATATATATATATATATATATATATATATATATAAATATATATATATATATATATATATATATATATATATATATATATATATATATATATATATATATATATATATATATATATATATGTACATATAAAATGTATGTATATGCATGCATATAAAAACTTCAAAGCTAAAATTTTTAATAGGTACTTTTATCAAGTCAGTTAGATTCATCAACAATATCTGAAGCAATGGTTAGAAGATTAATTTTTTTTTAATTTTCTTGAATAATCATAATATATATTTTTAATATACAATGAGCATAAATATAGAATAACTAATCTTTTCTTTATTTATTTCTTAAATAAAAGTGTTTAAAAATTTTGTTTACTATCAGGCAACTTTTGACAAATATTTATCAAACCCTGATAGTTTGAATATACCTCAGATGCAACTTATCCATAGCACAAGGATCAGGTGAAAACTCTAATTTGTAGTATACATTTTTTAAATCTAGTTAACTTTTTTTTATCTGAAAGTGAAAACTCATTCATGTCAAGTTATTTTTATTCATATTTTAGGGATGCTATTTGCAAGCAAGCTAATGATATTGTAGAAGCAGCCTACAACAAAGTTTATACCGAAGTCACAAAAAATTATTCTGATATTCTTATGACGCGAACGCCTGAGCAACTAAGGCTTTTGTTGGCCTAATTTACTATTTTCTAAAATGTATTTATTTTATTTAATTATTCAAATAATGGTTTTATAATCTAAAAATTTTCAAAATGTAATATTTTTTTAAATGCAAAAAGCAAATGATTTAAGTTTTTAGATGGGTTTTTTTTATCTATATATTTTTCAAGTATCAATCCTTTTGAAAGTTATTAATAAATTTGTAGCGACTTAGACCACTTGTATATATATATATATATATATATATATATATATATATATATATATATATATATATATATATATATATATATATATATATATATATATATATATATATATACAAATATATATATATATATATATATATATATATATATATATATATATATATATATATATATATACTGGGATCACTATTTTTAATACTAACTACTATGTCAGATTTTTACTATATTATATTAAAATTCTTTTAAATTTGTAATTCAGTTCAAATTTAAATTTGTTTGATAATATAGGAATGAATTTTCCTGGAGAAAATTATCAATATATAAAGTTTTTAGTAATTTAAGTTAAAATTTTAAGGAAAAAATAATCAAGAATAAGATTTCTGATAGTTTCATTCCATGCCAAATTTATGTCACAGGAGTAATTCCATGTCAATTGAGCCAGGCCATGTCACCATACATCTCAGATTTTGCTGATTTTTATACAGTTGAGAGTACTTAGTAAAACAAAAAATCCTTGAAAATTTTAGCTTCTAGCTCCAAGAGGATCATGAAATATGATCATTTTACTTTTAACTGATCTTGGCCAGGCCCCTCTTGTCCCCTCAGAAGTGTGACCTTTGTTTAAAGGTTTCAAGTCACATAGCTTTAAAAATATTTGATCTTTTAACTTAAAAATTTGTACCTGGCTATTTTCAGGGTCGAAGAATCCAATGAAATAATCAGAAATGTAAAAAAAAATTTTTAAGTACTTGTAATTATCAATTTAAATAAATTTAGGCAATTTTTTATATACCTGGTTTTGATGCTCAAGAAAGCCATGTGGCCTTGATGATATAAAAAAAAAAAATTGTACACATTATTCTATGTTTAATGATCTTTCAGAAAACATAAAAATTTTGATCTGCAAGTATATGGATTTCCATATATGGTTAACGGGGCACAGGCCCCACTATTTTGTAGCAGAATCTTGCCATACATTTTTCACTACCTTTCAGACTAGCTGGAACGATGAAAATTTTGGTATTTATGTAGTGTCGATAAATGTGCATTTTAAAGTTAAAAAAGGGCCCAAGACACTAGGGGAGGGGGCTGGGGGGATGTGCCCCACTTTTTTGACCGGAATCTTGAGATGGATTTTTCAGTATCTTCCAGACAAGCATGAGCTTTGAAACTTTCAGCATTTGTGTAGTCCTGATGAACATGCTTTAAAATAGTTTCAGGTCAGACGACTAGAAGGTCCATGGGGCTTGGGCACCAGGGACCATGCCCCACTTATTTTCTCAAAAAAAAAAATTTTTTTTTGTCTTAAATTTAAAATAACTTTGAAAATATTGTATTTAAATATTTTATTGCTTTATGCTTGTTCCGTTTTACTTCATTATTTACAAAATAAAATACAAAAAAAAGAAATTGTCAAGATAATGCTAAGATTAGCTTAGATGCATTGACGGTCAAAGTATACAAACGTCCATTTGTTGTTACAGGTGCATCAATTATACAAGTTATGTTGGTAATTGGAACCCAACACTCATCTACTCTAGATGGCCAGAAAAGTTTATTAAAAGGATCGTGCGGGTGCATAAATGTTACCATAACATCTTGCTCTATATTATCAACTTTATTGATCATACCAATCCAATCAAACGCATCATATTTACACATAATGAATTCACCAAATTTCAAGGCATCAATGTTAATTTGCTGATCATTTTGAGAACTTTGAATACCAGAAAAAGAAAAAATGCCTGTTATATGAACATCTTCACTTGTTCGTTTAAAGCTAATAGTATCTATAGATTCTGGTTTAAATTGATGATAGCTCCTAGTTCCAGGGATTGTTCTACTTAGCTCAAAACGTGTTTTCAAAGTGGTGCGCAATTCTGTCAGTCTTTCTTTTTCAATCTTGAAAAAAATAATTCCTTTAATATTGTTAGTACAGTAGTCAAACATTTTGTTACAATTTAATATCTGGTCATTTATGGGCCTTTGTAGACTTGCATTTGTAGTTAATCGTTTTACAATGCCACCAATACCATCACATGATGACTTACCATGACTTGTAGCAAAAAATGTCCACTCTGCATCAATGTCAAAATCATTTTTATGGAGACAGATATTGTAAAGGTTTTTGTGGTTTTTATACTGTGCAGCACAGCCATCAAAAAAATAAAGAATCTTTGAAATTTTAGGATGATATTCTTTTAAATAGTTAACTATTTGTGTTTGAACTTCATACACAAAACCAGTGTCATGCTCATTATCTTCTGACATGAAACAAAACGATTTTTCTTCAAGTTGGTCATTTTCGTTTAATAAATAGAGGGCAACAGGGTGCAATGTGCATTGACTTTTGCACCAATGGTAACTTTGGATTTCATCTTGAATCACAAAAGTGAAGTTTTCTGCAAAGTCAACTAAGACAATACAGCAGTTTTTTGCTAAATTTTCCTTTTGTTGCTTTAGGTATCTTGATTGACATTTTGCAATGTAGGAATGAGCTGTTAACTTGTTTATTGCCTCTGATAACATCAATTTGTATTCTTCAATAGTTGTTGTCTGATAGATCAATGTTGTTCTGTCTGTTTTCTGCCACTGATTGAATGACACCTTCTCGTCATTGTCATTATCAATTAGTTGTGCATCCAGAAACTTCTTTAAAGAAACCATACCTGGACAGTTCGGACATCGATGAACCATGCACTCATTACTTGTCACATCACAAACAACTTTTGTCATCATATCTTTGTAAGTACATTTCATTTGTATAGCATTGGTCAAGAGTATTGCATTTTGATGGAGGGTACATACACAAACAGAATGAGTGCCTGATGCTCCAACAGTTATACACCATTTTGGTCTTAAACTGCAAAACTTAGAAAATCCAATAACTTCTTGAGGATATTTAGTTTTAAAAGAAACATAAAGTTCTTTAAGATTACATAAAATAAGACGCTTTTGCATGTGTTGTTTTCTACCAATACTTACGTAATCTTTTTTACCAGGCATTTGTCGAGTAAATTCTTCATCATGGTATATATTGTTGACTCTATTTAATGTTATTTCTGAAAATGTTTTTTACCTTTCTTAGTGCCTGGAACTGAAAAAATCCCACTCATTTTCTTTAGTTTGCGCGCTTCTTTAATTTGGTATATAGTGACGTTGAAATATCTTGCAGCAAAATTTCTTGACCAATACTTGGGTGTAAATGTTAATAACTGAATTTTAGTTTTTTGGTCAGAAACAATTAACTTTTATTTTATTTCTGCTGTTAGTTTGTCTAAATCATCACATTTACTTTTGTCAATATTTTTCGTATGAGGAATTTTATGCTTCAGTTCTTCTTCCCTAACATTATATACTTCTGAAATATGCTCTTCATACTTTGACATTATTTTTATAACTTTACTTTTAGCAACAGATAGCCGTTGATGCTTTGGAATGCCATAAAGTTTTATGGGGGATACACCTATTGTTTCCAAACTAACATTTAATGCCTTTGTGACTTTTCAGAAGTAGCACATGAAATAGATTCCTCAAATTCACAATTATCTTGTTCATGAAATTTACTGATTATAGCGTCAAAGCAGCTCCGACAAAGTTGATATCCAGGCACAACATTTGGAAAATTAATTCTCAATTGCTTTGCCATGTCTAATGTTATTGCCATGTATAATGTTATTACATGACTCCCTGAAAAGAAAAGAACAATTTGATTTTAGTAATTACCTATGAATATGAAAATTATTTGTACTTATTTCCATATACATTGCATAACCAGATCAGCTTTTTTTCAAACTTTTATAAACTAGTAGATTTTAATTTCATTATTCAAAAAAGATTTTACAATAATTTTTTATCAACAATATTTACCTTTGATTGCTTTTTTTTTTGATTTATGCTTGTCCAATAAATTGCAACATTTTGTGTGCTTCTTTTCAAAGTGTGTACCAAAAATCTTTTCATGATGAAGGCAGATTGTTAAAATGTTATCATCTGTTATTCCAGATCTCCAAATAAATTCTTCTCTGGCATCTTCTCTATAGCAATCAAATTTCTTTAAATCAATCTTTCTACAATAACTTAGTTTATGACAAGTATCATTTAATTTTTTTCCAAAATCACATGAATCCATTCTTACTGTAACACTAAAAATATTTTGATATTAGTTTAAAAATGAGAAACCAATAGTAATTAATTCAATGAAAGCAACTTAAGCAATCACCATGGTAATACAAAACTAAATAGTGATTGATTTCTTTTATCTTACTTTGACAAAAAGAAAGTTTCCTTTTCACAAAGTTTAATTATAATCAATTTGTTAATGTTAAAAATGTTAATGATGACTTTAATAGGTAACAAATTTCTTCTATACTAGTGTAATGACAGGATGTTTTTTGTTCCTGTAAATAGTTCTTATTCAATAAAATAACTTGCTGTTAACATTTTAGAATTAGCAAATATCAAATAAAATAATGATTTTGAAAAATTGATAAATTTCTTTTTTATTGATATAATGTTATGACAGGATGTTTTTTTCTGTTGAAAGTTAATTAAACAACTTGCTGTTACCATTTTAGCATTAAAATATATTAATCTTTTTTAATTAAAATTTTAAATTATACAAAATAAAATTACGTTAAAACCATTATTTTAGACTGTTTTTAATCTTATACATGCAAATCAAAATTCTTATAAACATTAACTTTCTTAAAACATTTTAAGAAAGATCATTGAACATAGAATGATCAAAAACCAAATTGAACAAATATAAATCACAAAAATTTGTGGAAGCAATGTTACCAAAGATATGTTTAACATTGTTAAAAATAAAAATCTAAAAAAAAATTTTGAAGACAATAGTTTCATGTGTTAAAATATGTTTAAAAAAAAAAAAAATTTTTTTTTGAGAAAATAAGTGGGGCATGGTCCCTGGTGCCCCAGCCCCATGGACCTTCTAGTCGTCTGACCTGAAACTATTTTAAAGCATGTTCATCAGGACTACACAAATGCTGAAAGTTTCAAAGCTCATGCTTGTCTGGAAGATACTGAAAAATCCATCTCAAGATTCCGGTCAAAAAAGTGGGGCACATCCCCCCAGCCCCCTCCCCTAGTGTCTTGGGCCCTTTTTTAACTTTAAAATGCACATTTATCGACACTACATAAATACCAAAATTTTCATCGTTCCAGCTAGTCTGAAAGGTAGTGAAAAATGTATGGCAAGATTCTGCTACAAAATAGTGGGGCCTGTGCCCCGTTAACCATATATGGAAATCCATATACTTGCAGATCAAAATTTTTATGTTTTCTGAAAGATCATTAAACATAGAATAATGTGTACAATTTTTTTTTTTTTATATCATCAAGGCCACATGGCTTTCTTGAGCATCAAAACCAGGTATATAAAAAATTGCCTAAATTTATTTAAATTGATAATTACAAGTACTTAAAAATTTTTTTTTACATTTCTGATTATTTCATTGGATTCTTCGACCCTGAAAATAGCCAGGTACAAATTTTTAAGTTAAAAGATCAAATATTTTTAAAGCTATGTGACTTGAAACCTTTAAACAAAGGTCACACTTCTGAGGGGACAAGAGGGGCCTGGCCAAGATCAGTTAAAAGTAAAATGATCATATTTCATGATCCTCTTGGAGCTAGAAGCTAAAATTTTCAAGGATTTTTTGTTTTACTAAGTACTCTCAACTGTATAAAAATCAGCAAAATCTGAGATGTATGGTGACATTTTTGAAATTTTCTGGCTCAATTGACATGGAATTACCCACAGGGAATTTGTTATTTAACATACGATCTTCTTTAGCCACAGTTAAGTAGTTAATGTCATAATATTATATCGTTGCAATAACAAAAGCTAATTCATGAAATAGCTTTATAATGGCACTATTTTATGTTTCGTGGTTTATTAAAGCTTCAATCCATGCAATAGCACATTTTTTTGATCTTAATGGTGTTAATAAAGTGATACAATATTCCAAATATAGTCTTTAAATGATACAAATGTAGTCTTTAATCACTTTTTTTTATTTTTTTTATTTACTTCCCCAAGGCCCGAGGGGGCCACTAAAGTTGAAGAGGCTACTCGTTTTTTTTTTTTTTTTTGTTGTTGTTGTTGTTGTTGTTGTTGTTGTTGTTGTTGTAAATCGTGGTACAACCCTCTCTCAACTCTTTAACTCCGAAACACGAACCTTGACAAGCAAGACCGCTGCGCGGAGAAATTAAGTTGAGAGCGGTACTTCCAGGGACATGGTGGGAGTCAAACTCCGAACTTCTCGCTTACAAAGCGAGCGCTCTTACCACTACACCACTACCGCATTTTTGTTGAAGTTGAAGCTGTGTTGAAGTCACTTTAAAAACACATTTGGTAAATAATTGAAAAATTTAAAATCTAAAACAGTCTTTCTTTAAACAAATAAATGTGCAATTCTAATAATATATCTGAAGGTAGATATATTTTTATTAATAAGTTTTTAGAATAAGATAATTATTATTTACTGACTTATAAATGTTGTTTAATGTTTATTAAGTTCAATCTTTATTATCTTCAAATTTTAATATTTTTTTTGAATTGACATTTGAAAAAACAATTCTCTCTTTATATTTACCTAAAAAAATTAATTTTTTCTAACTTTTTCTAGATTTCTTTAAAAAACAATGTAATATATAAAGCATAATACACCTCTATATTCTTAAAGTATCTGGCAATAAGTTATAAAAAATTAAGTTTGCTTTTTAAAATTTTTTCTGATTTTTAGGATTAGGTTAAAAATCTACCTAAATAGCAAACATAACTAATCAGTATCTGTTAATTTTGAACATGCAAAATTTTGTAAATAGTCATATTATTTTCAAGCTTTTCTTAGTTAAAATATAAAAATTGTAATACTATGATAATATTAATATTGATAATATATTATTAATATTGTGATAATATTAATATTGGGCTATATCACATAGAAGTAACCATGATGACTTCAATCATAGATTTCAACCATGTTTTCAACAATAGTTTTTTAAATTAACACCAACTATTTAATGTCAATATTTTCCATTGATTTCACAGTTTTTGATAATTCCATTAATAACCCTCGGAATTAGGGTCGTCATTCGGTAATGCCAACCTAACTGCTGACCTAAAAATGTTTGCGGTCAGCAAAAATTTACCGACCTCGTTTTAATGTTTTATAGTAAGACCTTCGTATCAATTTTTTTTTGCTGACCTCTAAAAGATTGAAGTCGACAATATTTTTCCAACCTCAATTTTCCTAATTCTGAGGGTTGCATTAATGTACTAGCATTTTATTAATTAATGCATTTTAGAAATCTAATCTACTCTGAGTATTTGCAATAATTTTCTACAGATTTTTTTAAAAGAAAAAAACTATAAAAGAAAAGTAATAGATATGGATGATGATGATGGAATGATTATGGATGATGATGACGATGATGATGATGGAATAAATATAGATGAAGCAGATGCTGAAATTATAAAAGATAAAGCGAGAAATAAAGATGAAAGAGATATTTTTTTAAACTGGTTTGTTTTTTGTTAAAATTGTTGAGCTTCAAAATAAAATAGTTTTTAATGAAATAAAAAAAATAATTTTTTTATATTAAACTTCATTGAATTTCATAAAATTTTTAATGTAGGAATAAAACAGCATATGTTCCAGAGCCTCATTTAATAACTGAAGAAGCATTTAATTCTCTTCAGCCATCATATGAAAAATACTTTTTAAAGTTTTGGCAAAAATCTGATGTAGATGTCAGCAATAAAGAGTTAACTAAAGTGATATCTACGTTGCCTAAACCCACTAAAGATGTGTTAATTGATACAACTGTATTGTTGAATCGAAATAAAAATAAAACACCTGATACAACTATGCTATCAAACCATACTAAATATCATCTTTTGAGCAAGCCTAAACGTTTTTCTTGTATATCTGAAGCAGATGCCAGCTTTTATATTGCAAATTACAATAAATTGCAGCATTTAGATGATGAAAAGAATAAACAAAGGTTTAAGGTTATCTTTTTACTTTTTATATAAATAAATCAGAATATTGTATATATGTATATATTTTAGGAAACCATTAAAAGTAAACTAAAAACCATACCCTCTAAATTTGTGGCAAATATACAAAAAAAGTAGCCGCAAACATTTGACAGACTTTCAGATCAATTTTGAATTCCCTCAACCTATTAATTTTGGGAAAACTATCCAAAAGTAATCATTTTAGGGGATTTTAAGAGAGAAATTTTTTTTTATTTAAGTTTTTATTTGTTTACTGTGTGTATATACTATGTATATACTTTTGTGTATATATACTATGTGTATATTTTTATTTGTTTACTGTGTGTCTATATACAGTGCCCTCTAAAAAAAATTGGATAGCATATTTTTTTTAAAAAAAAGCACAAAAATTCAATCTTTTATCAATTATTTTTTAACTTTATATCAATTATATGAAATAATAACTATTATTATACTAGGGTTCGGCAAATGCATCTGCGCAGATCTGCGCAGGCATAATATGCCCATATCTGCGCAGACGTCTGTGCCGACGTCTGCGAAGACAGTTTAAAGGATACGAAAAATTTAAATTATGATAAAAAAATTACTTCAGACATTTGATTCAGATAATTTAATTATCTGAATCAAATGCCTGAAATTAATTATTTTTTAAAATTTAATCTCAGACAATATTTAATAAAATAATTTCAGACATTTTGAAAAACTCGTAAAAAGTAGGTAATTATCTACTTTTTACGAGTTTTTCATTACCTGCTGTTTCCTTTTTGTTCGAGCTACATGTAATCAATCGATATAAACTTTTTAAAGTGTTTCTTACTGCAATTTAAAGTGATTTAAAATAAAGAAATAGCGTATTTTCGTCATAACAAATGTTTAAAATGGAAAACATCAAAATTTCGAATTATTTGACAAATCTTGATCGAGGGAAGCGTTCTGGCACTTATTTAGCATCTAACAAAACTGTTCCATGGTCGAAGGAACGCCTTGCAGCGCATAAAAGATCAACATGTCAAAACGCCAGTGTCGAGGAAAAAAGATTATTTTCTAAGCGTAATTATGAAGCATCTACGTCTGATTCACCGATGCAGCGTGTACATCCACCGATTAATGAAGAGCTCAAAAATGATATCGACACAAAGCTTGCAAATTTCTTTTACCCTACGGGTATATCATTTCATTTAGTGGAATCGGAGGTCTTTAAGGATTTTGTGAAGTCGCTCAATCCATCGTAGGCATCTGTCATCCCGAAAGCTAAAGCCTTATCAGGATCTCTGCTCGACAAACAATACACAAAATGTTCTATTTATGTCAATGAAATTTTGAATTCTGAAACAAATTTAACACTGATGTCTGACTGCTGGACAAACATAAGAGGCCATCACATAGTGAATTTTTGTATTAAAGCGCCCGAGCAGAAGCCTTTTTTTTACACCTCGATAAATACATCCGGAATCATTCAAAATTCATCTGCAGTTGCTGCAGCATTCTTACAAGTTATTGAGAAGATTAGCTCACAAAAATTTACCAGTTTCATTAGCGACAACGCTCCTGTAATGAAATCAGCGTGGAGGATCATCAAGGAGAAATATCCACACATCTCGGCTAGCGGATGCGGAGTTTATGGAGTCAACTTGCTTGTGAAGGACATAGTTTCTACAATTGAGGCCACAAAAACAGTCAAAGGTGCAGAGAAAATCATCAAATATGTGAAAAATCATCACATCGTGAAAGCAAAGTTTGATAAAAGACAAATTGCAGCAAATATTTCTCTTTCATTGTCCATGCCTGTATCTACACGATGGTTTAGTTATTATAAATCAATGAGCAGTCTCCAGCTATCAAAATACATTCTTATTAAGTTGGTAGACGAAGAAAGTCCATTACTGAAGGAAATTCAACCAAAGAATACATCTGCTGCTGTTATGGCGTTGATAAAATCTAACCCATTTTGGGACTGTCTCTCTAAGCTTGTCAAAAGCATTGAATTTCCTTCCAACGTGATTGGAAAGCTAGAAAGTGATACAGCTCCATTGTCTCTTGTGTATGATTACTTTGATCAAATGTACCATTCATATATGGACAATAAAGACATACAACAAAAAGTGCAATCTCGCCTTGATTTTCTCTTTACATCATGTATTGGAATTGCTTTCATATTAACGCCCAAAAATGCTGCAGAAGGTTTATATTTGAATGAAGATAAAACCAATTTTATACCTGCTACAGTTGAATTCGCCAAAAAGATCAAACCTGAAATTGCTGCCACTGCTGAGGATGAGTTGATTGCTTATATAGGAGAAATTTCTGTGCTGCCTGAGAGAAGAAAGGAAAAAATATTCAAGATAAACTCGCGAAATTATTGGAACATTATCGGTCGCGATAAATATTCTGCTCTTTATGAAATTGCTAAGCCTATTAACAAAATGATCTGCTTATCGGCTACAGCAGAAAGAGCTTGGTCGACCTTTCGATTTATTCACTCGCGACTAATAAATTGTCTTACGAATGAGAGAGTTGAAAAGCTATTATTCTTGTATACCAATAGCGTGCTGACGGACACAAATGACAAGACTGATTACATTCTTGAAAAAGGTGCAATTCTTAATGAAATTGAATGTCAAGAAATCACTAAATAGGCGCCAGCATTATATATTTTTATTACTGTAAGAATCTTTGAAAACTCCTATTGTTACTAATCACTGAATTTATAATAAAGTTAAAAGATTACTTAAAACATTTTTTAAGTTTAAAACTTTTTTTGTTGATTTCAATAAATCGTCAGTAATAATAATATCTGCGCAGATCTGCGCCAAGAGACGAACCTTAGTATATTTTAGCAGTAATAATAAATTTTGTTGGCACCAACATCTGCGCAGACAAATTACAATGTCTGTGCAGATCTGCGCTGACAGTGCGAACCTTATATTACACACTACCCGTCACTAAAAAAATAATAAACAAAACTGGTGAACTTAATTAAACAAAATTACAGAATTGGTAAAAATCAAATAAAATGGGAAAATTCAATTTTTTTAAAAAGATTAGTAAAGTTGATTATGGTTTCAATTTTTTACAGCTTTGCTGTTAAATGCAGAATACTTAATACAATCACTTTTCCCTTGTTACAACTAAATAAAAATTCTATCAGCTTTTTTATTATTATTATTATAATTATAAATATTTATTATTATTATAAATGTTTTTAATACTTGGTCACATAACTTTTTGCAGCAATAACCGCTTGGCATCTGTTTGGCATGTTTTCAACTAGTTTTGTTAATAAGCTAACTTCCAGTAATTCTAACCAATTGTCAAAAATAGTTCATCTTCATTACTAGGTTTTCTGTCTTTGAGTTTAGCATTTAATATAGATCACAGATTTTTAATCAGTTTAAGATCAGGTGATTGTGCTGGCCACTCAAAGGTAGTTATTCCAGCATTTTGTATGTATCTTTAATTTTTTCCTTACTGTATGATTTGGGTCATGGTCTTGCTGAAATAGTTTCCATTGAGAAATAGACATGTTATACATGGTTTTAAATGCTGAACTAAAATATGATAGTACTTATGTTAGTCCATGATTCTATCTACTCTATACAGGTTTCCCACTCCATGAGCAGCAAATGTGTACACTCTGGATTATATGGTTCACCTTTTTTTCCATATTCTATCCCGATTACCATATTGTAACACAAAAGGTGATTCATTTATCCATATAACACGTTTCGATTGATCTAAAATCCAGTTTAAGTGCTCTCTGCACCATTTTAGTCTTTTTTAACTTGATTTTTCTCATTTATAAATTTTTTTTTTTTTTTTTTTGCTTCTCTGAAGTAAACTCTTTACCTATACTATAAAATATATATCTTTAGCTATACTATACTACACCTTTGCCTTTACTGCAAATTATAAACTCTTTACCTATACTATAATATATATATATTTATATATATATATATATATATATATTATATATATATATATATATATATATATATATATATATATATATATATTTCTTTACCTTTATTCTTGTAGTAATTGTATTGTTACATAATTACTCAAGGTTTAAATTTTGCCTAATTTGAATCACTTCTACAGTTCTTCATCATTTACCTTACAATCAAATGATCTCTTTCTGTGGTTTTTTGCTTTCTTCCAGACCCTGACTTTCTGCTAATTAAATTTTGATACAAATTTCTGAATACAATTCTTTGAACTGTAGATTTACCACATCCAACTTCTTTGGAAATATTACGCAAAGACCAATATGCATTGTGTATTTGAATTACTCTACCTTAATCAAAGTTTGAAACTTTGATTAAGGTAGATGTTTTTTCCTAAATTTGTAAATATTAGTTTTAACTGATAAGCAAATGATGTTAAAACTAATTGATGAAATGCCATACCTAATTTATTGTTAAATATTGGTAGAAGCAGAATCAAAACCGTATAACTCATTTTGGCCATTTAAGTATATACCATATATAAAAATGCTATAAAATTTAATTTAAATTAAATAATATAGTTTAATAATATAGTAATATAATTTTTGGAATCTTGAAGGTATGAAAAGTAAAAAAACAATTTCACATCACCAAAAAATAATATAAAATCCCATGTAACACTTTATAAAGTAGAAATTATAATGTAAAACAAAACATAATTATAAAGAAATCCTTTTTAGACCTATTATTATTTTGAGTACTACTTTTTTTTTTAATTTCTATTTAATTTTAATTATCTATTTAGGTATCTATCATCAAAAATTAAAAAAAAAATTTCATGCTACTATCAATTTTTACATTATTTGAAAAATGTAAATTATTTTTTTATTTAAGTTAGTTTTCTGCAGTTGACTTTCAACAGTTTGACTTTTTTTTTTTTTTTTTTATTAAAGTATAAAGTGCATTAGTAGTTCTAATTTTATATTAAAAAACTAAAGAAATTTTAAAAATAAAAGACAAAAGTTAAAAGAAAGAAAACATTTA